ATAGCTAGAACACTAGAAAGGCGCGCCATCGATATATGCTGCGTCCAACGACCAAACGTACCAAATCTAAATACAGTCACTCAATGAACCTCAACTCGCCAACATAAAGAACCGACACGACTTAACATTTGTATATAAAATTACACGGATATCATTCGACCTAATTAGAAGTCGCAGCACGTGTCAACTCCCCATTCTGGTTGCTTGGAAATAATAGGTAACTGGAGTTCCGTTGAACTGATCGTTAGTGTTCTGTTCATCGTTATAATCTCTTGAACTGAGAGTAGATCATGGTTCTATCTTCTTCAATCTCACTAACTATTGATTTTTTATAAGCCGTTTTCTTGATGAGTCGGTATAGTTGTCCAGTATTACCTATCACAATTGTCTTTTCCATCTATCTTGCTTTCATTAGCGATTCCTCCTTACGATCATTAGTTTTCGTTTAATTTGTCTTCCCTCTTCATTTTTCTCGAAATCCGATAAATTCGTGCGCAGTCATTAATCAAGTAGGAGTTTCGTAAATCCAATCACCTTTCCTAATCTTTCGATTGTGACTGATATCATAACTGCATTTAAATCTGTTTGAGTATCGTTTCAAGCTTCTTTGAGATGAACCTTTTTCCTATAATCGACTAAATGCCTAGTTAATTTTCCCTTCACTCCATTATCAAACGTTTCGCTGGTGTTCAATCGCATAAATAGCAAGCACTCGAAAATGAACAATGTTTATATTTGGTAGAGTGCCATTGAGCAGAACTTTACTCATAATCAGGTGTAGAAATCCCGCTGCACATATCAGAAGTCTACACTGATCTAATGTGATTTGCCAGTTCACTTCACAGAAAGCAAAGCACTGTGTTAAAAAGGTTTTCTTCAAACGAAAACTTTCGGAAAGCTGTCTCGTAAATTATCATTTAACATTGGCACCCGCCAGTAATATAAAATCTCGTTTTTGTTTCGTGTCAGTGATTCGATCTCACCTTCACAAATAATCCTGACGCTAATCTTTTACGTAAATATCTGTAACTAATGTAAGGGATGTGTCGCGCGTACAGTACAAGTACAGGCGACCTTTGTCAGTTTTCTAAACATTTTAGTATATGGTGAATTTCGAATAAATAGACTAGTAACTGATAATAGCGTAGTGCATCTCGCGTATCGATCAAACCATAATGATATTAACCTTGCTTGAAAATATCTCAAGCAAATAGACCACAAATCCGTAAGTGTTTGTGTTCGTAGAGAATTTAATGCAGAATTTGTCTAATTTTTCCTCGTAAATTTGACTAGTGTCTCCATAGGTACCTTATGTGAAGGAACAAATACCGAAATGCATAAACGGTCTTTGAATACCTATCGATACTGTTGTTGTGTAAGAAAATCGATTATTAGAATGAAGTCACGCTCAGATTATTTATTTATTACCAATGCCCGCTTTTCTCATTTAACAGTTCGGTATGAAAGCGTTTTGTTGTGAAACGAAAAAGTGATTGGGATGTTGAGTTGTCAAAAGTTTTAGGACTTCGAATTGTGTTTCTATGCGATCGAATTATTGCATTACATATTTCTTATGATCAATAGGTTATTGCTACATTTGTCATATTCGTTATTATAGGCTAAGCTTTTGGAGAATTCAGCGAAAGGAGATCAAGATTGTGTTTTGTTATTGGATTCGTTTGACGGTCGAGATCGTATTGCGATACATCTGGCAATGCATTACTGATAGCTAATAAAAATCTATCAACTATCGATTCGTCAAGCACAACAACGAAACACAATCTTGATCTCCTTTCGCTGAATTCTCCAAAAGCTTAGCATATAATAACGAATATGACAAATGTAGCAATAACCTATTGATCATAAGAAATATGTAATGCAATAATTCGATCGCATAGAAACACAATTCGAAGTCCTAAAACTTTTGACAACTCAACATCCCAATCACTTTTTCGTTTCACAACAAAACGCTTTCATACCGAACTGTTAAATGAGAAAAGCGGGCATTGGTAATAAATAAATAATCTGAGCGTGACTTCATTCTAATAATCGATTTTCTTACACAACAACAGTATCGATAGGTATTCAAAGACCGTTTATGCATTTCGGTATTTGTTCCTTCACATAAGGTACCTATGGAGACACTAGTCAAATTTACGAGGAAAAATTAGACAAATTCTGCATTAAATTCTCTACGAACACAAACACTTACGGATTTGTGGTCTATTTGCTTGAGATATTTTCAAGCAAGGTTAATATCATTATGGTTTGATCGATACGCGAGATGCACTACGCTATTATCAGTTACTAGTCTATTTATTCGAAATTCACCATATACTAAAATGTTTAGAAAACTGACAAAGGTCGCCTGTACTTGTACTGTACGCGCGACACATCCCTTACATTAGTTACAGATATTTACGTAAAAGATTAGCGTCAGGATTATTTGTGAAGGTGAGATCGAATCACTGACACGAAACAAAAACGAGATTTTATATTACTGGCGGGTGCCAATGTTAAATGATAATTTACGAGACAGCTTTCCGAAAGTTTTCGTTTGAAGAAAACCTTTTTAACACAGTGCTTTGCTTTCTGTGAAGTGAACTGGCAAATCACATTAGATCAGTGTAGACTTCTGATATGTGCAGCGGGATTTCTACACCTGATTATGAGTAAAGTTCTGCTCAATGGCACTCTACCAAATATAAACATTGTTCATTTTCGAGTGCTTGCTATTTATGCGATTGAACACCAGCGAAACGTTTGATAATGGAGTGAAGGGAAAATTAACTAGGCATTTAGTCGATTATAGGAAAAAGGTTCATCTCAAAGAAGCTTGAAACGATACTCAAACAGATTTAAATGCAGTTATGATATCAGTCACAATCGAAAGATTAGGAAAGGTGATTGGATTTACGAAACTCCTACTTGATTAATGACTGCGCACGAATTTATCGGATTTCGAGAAAAATGAAGAGGGAAGACAAATTAAACGAAAACTAATGATCGTAAGGAGGAATCGCTAATGAAAGCAAGATAGATGGAAAAGACAATTGTGATAGGTAATACTGGACAACTATACCGACTCATCAAGAAAACGGCTTATAAAAAATCAATAGTTAGTGAGATTGAAGAAGATAGAACCATGATCTACTCTCAGTTCAAGAGATTATAACGATGAACAGAACACTAACGATCAGTTCAACGGAACTCCAGTTACCTATTATTTCCAAGCAACCAGAATGGGGAGTTGACACGTGCTGCGACTTCTAATTAGGTCAAATGATATCCGTGTAGCTGTATATACGACAAGGACATCTGTAAAGAGGTCAAATTTAAAGGTTAAAATAGATCAATGAATTTCGGCTGCGTTTTATGAATTGATAGAAAGTCGAAAATGTATCTTGTAGGACTTAGAAAACGATGAAGAGCGAGGACTCACACGTATTGTAATAAAAGGTGTATGACCTTCAGCAATGGTGGGCACTCAATGTGAAAGATGGAAAAGGCATCGGTGATAGGTAGCAATAAATAGTTTGATCGACTAATCAAGGAAACAGGCATTAAATACACTTCTTAGGTTCTAGACAATCTATAAGGAGGGATAGCAGTGGATTCAAATAGATAAACACTACATTTTTAATCCATCTGTTTCAGTTCAGATGAAAGAACTAAAATCGCCTTGTGATAATGAGAGGAAGTGTGGCCTATATAGTGTCAACAATACTAAGATCTACAACCATTCGACACAAATCCGGAAAAACCAGTTTGGTTCCATGCCAGGTCATGGGTGCATTGACCAAATATTCACTCTTCGTTATGTTTTAGAACATACTCATATTTACCGACGCTTAATATTTAGGTAGCTTTTAACTCGGTTTTCAGGTTTTGTGGTCTTGTTTGTGATTGAAAAGTGTATTAAAGAAGGATATAAGTCTTGTGGAGATTATTTACCAAGACATTATCAGTTAAGTTAGAACTTAAGACAAACTGTCAATCTCAAGTGCAGTTCATTAGTGACTGCCCACTATCTCCATTTTTATTCAACTTCGTAATTGATGTCCTTCGAAAACTAAAACAATCCTGGCACTATCAAGTGAGTAATTTCAAGGTTAGGCATAGGACACTAGGCAAAGGTGGCAAATCAGTTGACAAGGTGAACTTTTATCAATTGAGGTGGTCATGACATGCATCATCTAAGCCGATTCACCGATTAACTTGAAAGGTCTTTTTTGATTTAGGAGTAGGTTGGAAGAAAGTTGGGAGCTATCAGATCTTGACTGGAATTGATCCATAAAGTCACTGATTGTTGGTCTAACCCACGATGGTAAATGAAAGCAACTTGGTCGGGGGCCATGCAATAACTGCGATCAATGGCTGGAAACTTTGGGTGACATGACTTATGATCGTTCACAGCGGCAAAGATGTGCTTACTCTTTATCTTTCTATCGATATTAAATTTCAGTACACCTTCATAGATACCTTTCTACTATGCCTTTTTGGACCGTTTTCTCAATGGTTAGTCCTTTACATTGTCAGTTCTACTTTATTACAGTCTCATTTCTAATACACCTTGCTAATTTCATCGCTTTGTGCTAATGTGGTATGGCGACATGGGCCAACGAACAACTATGCCAAGCTCCACGTTGATAATGTACGACAGACTGTCATATCTTCATTTGAGTGCCACTAAACCTGCTACTTATTTCCGTGAGAGCCAGTACAGTATATAGGAGAAGGTAGTAATTACACAAGCCCAACGGATATTTAATTGCTCTGTTTTGCAAAGACTCACTATATGATCGACCACTTTACAGTCTCTGGCTAGTACCGTACGCCCAACCCAAGAACTGACTGATAACTCAATGGTTGCACGTACTACACAGATAATATTACTCAATGCATTTAGAAACTGAAACTTGAAGTGTTCAATCAAAATTTCTGTGAATTTAATATTCGTATAGTCTTGTAAGTAAACATACCACAGTAAATTAACTCACCTCAGCAGATGTGAACTTAATTGATCCATATACGGGTACTAAGACCTCTCGACAAGATCGTTTAAATTTACGTAGGTGAGAGTTGTCTACACGTGGACTTGATGATACTGATTTTTCTCTTAACTTGCGAACATTCAGTTGATGCTCTTCTGACTCCAAATGTTTCAGTTTCATTGAACTGAATATTACAAATTGACAAATATTGCACTGATAAAAAACAGAAGTTGAGCTTTCGTCACTTGATGGTGACATCTAAAATACATTGAGAAACTGCACACTGTGAAAGATATCCATTAAAAATTAGGAATATTATTGGTGTGAATAATTTTTCAAAAAAAAAACGCTGTTTAGTGAATGATGCAGATAGAAGTAAATAGGTGACAAAGCATCCAGATATATGAACAAAATTTAGTGGTCTTACATATGACTCCAGTTAGATCGTATGCTGATTACTACCGAAATATGTATCCAGCGACCCGCGTATACAGTGATCGCGTTAGTGAATAACGGAATTATATAAGTCAAATACGAGGATAGGTTTTGAATGCATATACTTTATAAAACCGTTGACCCAGATAGAGGACCAGAGAAACGAAGCGAAGAGAAAAGAGCGGAACGAAACGAGATGACTCGCAGTGAGCCAGCTCCATTTTATAAAGCTTTACTCAATATTTATATTCAGACAAAAATTAATTACAGACAAGTAATGAATAGGATAAGTAATTAACACACATACGACCATATCAAAACAGTCATGGTTGATAAGTGAATAACTGACAAGCTCAAAATGTGGCTTGAGATGAATGAATAAATTCGCCTATTCAGAAGCTAAAATAACCTATGTGGGTTTGATAAAGTACAGTAACTAAAAAACAGTGCTGATAGCGAAACAGATAAGATAAAGAGCGAACACGCTAGCTAACAAAAATTAGTAAGCGTTTCAACCAGAGTACAGAGTGACGGTGATATTAAGATTTATTAACTTAGTCACATTAATGCCGACTAATACGCGGTGGATTTATTTGCTTAAGTGCCGCGAACTAGTTATTACCAATGTTTTTTATTTATTTGAACACAAATATTGGCACAAAGAGGAACCGAACACATATGCACCACACAAGTCATCGATCAGCTACACTGTAGCACCAGGCACATATATGCATCGGTACAAGTTACCATACCTCATTAACACAACAAGATGAACACCAAATTCATAGAAGTAGTTAATTCAGATGTGCTAACATATAAAAGAAAGATTGCAATAAGGATATAGTACAGCAAGAAAGAATTAGTTCGTAGAAAGAAAGATATGAAGCGACTTTAATCTCATAGTTTAAGGGAAGACAGAGAGTGTATACACCGATGCCATTGTGATCGATTCTGAGTCATGTCACCCAGAGTCTCCAACCATTGGTTACGAGTCACGCAGACCCAACCAAGTAGTCTGCATCTACCAACATGGCTCAGACTAGAAGTTAGTGACTTCAAGCACTGATGCCACGTTTTGGTTTGGCCGCCCCTAACTTTCTTCCAACCATCCCGAACACCGGTTAGCATTGCACGTCGTGGTAATCGGTGTTCAGGTATACGTAACACGTGACCCAACCATTTCAGTCGATGAAGATTAACAACCTCATCAACTGATTTACCATCATTCCCTAATACCCTGGGTCTAACCTCATTATTACTTACCCGGTGATCCCAGCAGACGCCAGCAATATTTCTAAGGCATCTGTGATCAAGTACTAGTAACTTACGAATATCTTCTACTCTTAATGGCCATGTTTCGCTGCCGTAAATTAAAACAGAACGAACTGCCGCGCAGTATACTCGTCCTTTTATTGATAGACGGATATCTCGCCTCCGCCAAAGGTGACGTAAGTTGGCAAAAGCCAAACGAGCTCTTGGAATCCGTGCTGAGATTTCGTCAGACACCAACCCATTAGGGCTGATCAGACTCCCAAGATAAGTGAAGTTGTCAATGCGTTCGACTACTTCACTCCCTATCCTTAGCTTAGGTGTTGACGCAGACCAGTCCTGAAGCAACAACTTGCATTTAGAGGGAGAGAAGCGCATTCCAAACATTCTGGCATTGTTACTTAGTGCTACTAAAAGACTGCATTTTGTCAGCGACTTCACCAAACAGGACTATGTCATCTGTGTATTGTAAGTCGATAAGTGGACCTCCTGGAAGGAGATCAATCCCCTAAAATTCAGTCGATGAGAGCGTTATTTTCATCAGTAGGTCTATGATGAAGTTAAACAAAAGTGGGGAAAGTAGACAGCCTTGATGGACACCACTTGAGGTTGCAAAAGCAGATGACAGTTCGCCATAAGCCCTGACTCGACTGGTAGTGTTCTAGTAAAGAGCCTTCACAAGGTTTATGTACTTCTGAGGTACGCCTTTCAATGACAGACACCGCCACAGAATCTCGCAGTCAAGTCAAGAAAGACCACCATTGTCGGACGCCGATAAGTATGTCTGTGTTGCAGAACCTGACGAATGGCCAGCTGAACTGTTCTCTGAAATGTTCCGCCCATCGTTCTAAACGTCTGGACTGGGAGCAGATGAGAGTATCGCCTTTTTCCGAAATAATCTCACTTACACTTGACTTATTAATTCCAGTTTCTTTTATTAGTCTGTAAAGCTGTCTTGTGTTCCCTATAGTCGCCGCCTTTTCCATCTCTTTTGCTTTCGTTGCCCACCACTGCTCACGGTCGTTCCCTAGACTTTTTCTTAACCTAGATCTGATTTGTTGTCGCTCTTCATCGTGTTCACAGCCTGACGGGATGAGTTTATGAGAATCCATCAGTGCAATAGACCTTGAGGAAATTCATTGGTTCTTTGTAACCCTGCGGTTTAAGTCATTGATAGATGTGACTGCTGTTTCCACAGCTGTTTGTATATCTTTCCAAGCAACATCTGGGTCAACCTCGTTTTCAGAACTAGCTAAGTGTGACCTCAGTTGTTCCTGGAACCTACTTTTGGTTTTCTCACTACTCGATTCAGTTCTAATGGCTCTTTTTAATGTGGCTTTTTTGCGTCCAGTGAGGCGCAAGCAGATGCGTGCCCGTATTAGGGCATGGTCGGAGTCCAAGCAGGTACTACAGAATGAGCGACAATCTTCTACCGACCCTCTCCAACGATGACTGATGGCAATATGGTCTATTTGAGTCCATCGTTGGTTTGGTGTAGGCGGTCGCTATGTTAGACGATGTCTCTCCTTATGCTTAAAATGTGTTTGTTAAAAATAAACGATTGTCTGAGCACAATTACAGCAGACGATCACCATTCTAACAGTGCTTGTTCCGCCCTCATGCTTAGTGCTATCCCTACTCCTGCCAGTCCACGAGAGCTGGCCGTCGGGTCACCAGATACACGGAGGATGTATCTTGCTGGCTCTCCGTTTTGCCGAGGTGAGGTCAAGTGAATGACCACACTGGGATCCTGTATGCGTGTTTCAGAGACACAGCATACATCAATGGTACGAGATTCTAGGGTTGTAGCCAAGGAAGCCTGTTGACCGATTTGACACAGGGTGCGTACGTTGAAGGCTCCAATGTGTAGTATGGAGCGAGGTTTCAGTAGACCTGGGACAGTGTTTTGAGCACTAGAATCCTCGGCTATGGTGACATTTGAGGAGGAAGCCGAAAAGGAAGTTTGGATGTGAAAGTCGATGTAGGAGGAATAATAGGAAGTGAAGACGGAGGTTGATTATAAATACAGTGGTTTTGAGTGCTGTTAGAGGTATGAGGGTGGTTATCACTTCCCGGCTGCCCACACCGTGGAAGGGTATTTCTTGAGGAACCTGAAAAGGAAATTGTATTAGAGGTGGTCTTAGTGACCTGAGAGTGTGACTGCAGTGCCCAAGGGACAATTGCTTGAGGTTGGTCACACACGACCTTATTATGGGTAATTTTTGCGTTAGCTCCGTACTTGTTGAGACCTTACCGCCGGAGACGGATACCCGTGGGATAAGGCGAGGTGTGCATTTTTAGGGTCGACCTTTTCTAACCCCACCCCTCCTTGTGGGAAGGCAGCATCGCTGTCATGCTGGTTGTCTGAAGGAAACACCTTACTGCTGTCACACCTCTGTACAGTCAGCAGTACGAGTTCGCCTTCGGACATTGGGTTTGTTGCTTTTAGTCTTACCGCTCTTCAACCGACCTGTCTGACATGGTAGGACCTTGAGGAACGGTTGTTCCAGCCAGTATAGCTAGGTTGCTTCATCACGATAGGCAAGCCCGACCACCACGTCAAGGTAGCAACAACGGTCGGGACACAAGTCATTTTATTATTTATTTAAACACATAAACATTGGTACAAGAGGGCACCAAATACATATGCACCACATAAATCATTCGATTTTTGTATGGGCTGTGATACTGTCCGTGTGCCCAGACCGAAGCAGGTGGTGTTCTTAGGGGCCCACACCCGCAGCCTTCGATCTAAAGGTCTGATTTACAGGGCAGTGGAGGAACGTCAGGAGATGCAGTCCCACGGTAGCCGGTGACCAACGATTGGTTCATAGGCCATTTGTTCCTTCAAGATACTGGAGCCTATGTACACCACTGATTTGGAATCAGGGTTTCTCAACTCCCTTAGGTGGACTCACAGTGCCCACCGGCCCGGTTAAAGCGCCGGACATTTTCTTTTTGTCCTCTTAATTTCGTAAACAACACTCCAGCCACGAGAAGGCAGTGAGTAGGACTTGCCTGGCAGAGGCTGTATACGCGTGGCCGTATGAGAGCAGTTCGAGAGGGATGGTGGGCTCTTCTCACTCTCGGCCGAAGCAGGGCATATATATATATATATATATATAAACTGTGGTTCCGATTCCAGTATACGAACTTGTACTTCAGTTAGTTACAACTAACGTAGAATCTCGTGCAGATATCTGTTGCTCTAAGTTGTCAAAATTCAAATCAGCATAGGGATATGAAATCAACGAGATCAATAGCCCAGAGAACCACAGTGATATAAACAATCAATGAAAATTTGTCACTTAAAAATCCGAACTAACGATATTATAAAATTTCACTGTTCGATTCCGGTGAATTTATAACCGTGCATTAATCCACCACTGTAAGTCCATGATATAAGATAGTGCTTTCTAATTTCAGCTGTTTATGAACCACCAAATTCTATACGTTAATTTGTCAACATGAGTAGTAAATTAATTAACAAATTTACGGATTTCGCAGCAATAATCGGAGGAAGAATAGGTTAAAAATCTATGAGTGGTAGTGTCAAAACATGGAATTAATCTCCTGAATGTAGGTTTAGGTTGTACATAGACGTAGACTCTCTAAAACTGTCACGCGTAATACCGATAATCTGTGGTAGGAGATGGGTTCCATAGATCACAACTAAACTCACTATATATCTTCCTCTTGAACCATATTTTTTAATTTTCCACCTAATGTATCAATTCTTCTTCTATGCTTGTCATTTCCTATCTAGTTGTGATGTGGGGTATTGGGAGTCAAAACCGAGATACATTTTTAATTCTTTTACTAACTTAGAGAATTTATTTATTTATTGGTGTAATTGGTTTTATTCATACCCGAAACAGGAAAGATACAAACGAATAAAAACAAGTTGTGCCATATCTTACTGCTGTATCGCTTGAAGACAGACTGGAAACTGAATTAAGATTTATTTTACTTTGATGTTTGCGACCACGAAGGTGAGAAGTATATTGATCTGAAGAATTCATATGTATACCGCATAAGTTGCAGGTAAAGGAAATTTCGGAAGCTGAAGATAACTGGTTTGACTTTGTCCAATTTGAACTAGAATCAATGAAACCTACGTATGAAGAGGATTCTTGATCACAGATTGAATTTCTCATTGGCCCTGTAGAATAAGAGGTGGTATCTAAGAATGAATCTTTCGGTGAGCCCGAATCAGGAGTAACTAGTGTTGGTAAGGAAACTTTTAGGGGATAATTAATATGATCCACTATGTTTAAACTGTCTAAAGCAAGACATTTAGAGCGATGTTTTCTCCCCGTTTCATGAGCTCGTAGAACATTCTCAGTGTCACACCATATATTGCAAACACTACACGAAAATCGATGAGGATTCATCTAAAGAATAATAAAAAATCTGGAATTAATAGCAGTTAGTAAACTGTATGTACGTTTATAAAACAAAATCATTTAATATGTTATTTTACTTACAACCATTAAATAACGGTCAAGGTTGTAACTGAATGAACGACAATGTCATAACATGTGTGGATAATGACTCAAAAGAAACAAACTAATTGGTCTGTTCAAAAGCCAGAATAATCCATGCAAGTATGACGTAGTACTGAATGCTATACTTTTTACCCTTCAGTTTTCAAGAAGAACTGCTTAAACTAGGATCATGTACACTGAATTTTACTATAGTTGAATGCTTGAAGTGGTTATTTTTTTCAGACCCCAAGTAACGGTTGGTGAATTTGTTGGAAATAACTATTTGTCTTCAACACTACAAAACCTAGTCGATCAACTCGTTTACGTCTAGATTATTTTGATATTGTTGGAGTTAAGAATAACTGACCAAGACTACTTATTTTTATCGATCATAGTCATCTGTAGTACTTTCGTACAATTGTCACTCACTATGTCTACTTATATGTCGCAAGAATTTCAAATGAGAGTAGAGATGCAAACTAAATTTAAACATTAACTTGCTGAAAAAGTGAGATAATTAAAAAAGAGCCACAACAAACGTCTAGTTTATTTCTCCAAGTAAACAAATTTCATTATAGATCATCTTGTGTAACTGCACTGAAGTGACTAGTGTAATATCACGTAACGTATATATGTTAATCATGGCGTATGAGTCAGTTACCTTATTGAAAATAGAAAAGATGAGAAAAACTGAAGAGGACCGTATTTACTCTGTAACATGTAATTTGTAGTCCAATGTTGATATCATAGTAGTTAGTTTTGGATAATTTAATGAAGCCACGAACAATTGAACTGGGCCATATACGTAAGTTTAGACTGCCCGCTTCAAATTTGCACGACGACCGCTGAGTGACGTGAATGAGAGTAACTTACATTTTATCTCTCCTTAGATCATTCGGACCGAAACCCCTCTACACTTTTTTGATTCTTCCTTCTATACCTAATATGTTGTACTGCTGCTGATATTAATTCTACTACTCTGGGATGTTGCGACATAGTAGCTATACACAGTGCTATTCCACAGCACTTTTTGCAATACATAGAGAAATAAAGTCTTTAGCTGCTGAAAATAGAATTCTAACGGAAATAAGCTTTTAAACACTTTTTATCCCGTGATTTATTAATTTCCTACAGAGACTACGTAAGACAATACTTTATTCACTGATTCGCAAATAGCTAACACTCCAATAATCTTTTTACCAAGTGTTACCATAGTCTTCCCAGTAGAAACTTGGTTAGTCCTAATCCGCAGTAGACTAAGGTTGTGAAAGAAAGCTACAGAGCTTTTAAGAAGATTAGAGAACCGACTCGAGTATTGATCGAAAGTGGACTCTGCTTTTTAAGGACAGGAATATAGTCGAGTAACGTAACTTTTTTCAGAGAAAGGTAAAGATTGTCCTCCGTTTGAAAAATTTGCTGTTCATTGAGAAACAAAAAGGCTCACTGAAATTTTGCTGCTTTTGACGCTTTAAAAAACATGGTATTTTGAAGTAAAGGCTAGGCACAGATATGTACAGATAGATTATAGCTCAAAAATAACCGTTGATAAGGAAGCGCAGACCATATTAAGCTTCCCACTTGCATTAAATACTAAAGTACATGTCATCATGGGACCTCTACGTAATTTGTGAAGCAAATGCACCGAAATTAATTAGTAAAGCAGGGGCTATATTTATTTATTTTTACGTTGCACTTCTGGATAAGAAAAACTAGACCAACAAGAAACAATAAAGAATTTACTTCCTGAAGATTCCAATACAGATAACACACTGAAGCAACAAGTGCTTCGGGTAAAAGGCAAAAGTAATAGACTAGCTACCCCTCGGTTTGTAAAATATAAAGTATGTAGCCGCCCTACTAACAATGGCACTTAGACTACCGATAAATCGTCCCACTTTGACGTTGAGAGAAATCAATTTTGAAACCAGGTCGGATTTCGAAATTGCCTATCGAATCCTAAAATCAATACATTCACAACCAATGTGGTTTTATGAGACATAAACCCACATTTCGTTCACTAGTTTGTGAATAGAAAAATTTATTACTATCATATCCGAAAAATTTGTCTTAGCAACTGAAAATCAAATAAATTGTATAAACCTCAGGTACATTGATTGAGACATAGCTAACGATTTGGTGGTGGCTACATCTACAGAACCTCTACGTTGAAAAAAACGTCGTGTTGCCATAAGGCTAGTGTGATTGAAACTCACAGGGAATGAAATAATCCGACAGCGCATCTACATCGAAGTCAGAAACCAAACACGTTATCCTGAGTTTGCTCTTCAAGAGACTTATCAAAGCATCATATGATTATTCAGGTTAATATTTAACGCAGTCAAACTGACTCGATTGTGGCCATAAGACGAGTAATTCTGCGTTATCTTAATCAGCTTGAAGCACTTAAAAAGTACGAATCTAAACAAAACTGAATAAAATGATGAACGGTGTGATTCAGAAAACTATGTGAAATGTACACCGTTGGATTAAAGGATATTGTACAGCTCTAAAAGTAAGCACTTTATACATTATCAAAATCTAAAATAAACAGCCTAACTGTTATACTTTGTATATATTCGACATGTCCTCCTGAATCTTAAGTCGCAGAAAAAAGTGCAATATTTTATTACGGTTGTAAACAACCAAGATAAATTTTTATTCACTTGAAAACTGATATAACATTGAATTATACATCTGTAAGTCACATGCATTTAAATATGACAATATCAACAAACAATAATTGACAAAAGCTACTTCGTACTTTTTTTTCACTAAGCTAAAGATATTAAAGGAGAAACAGGTTTAAATGGAGGGGATAACTGCCTGCACGAGGTCACAACAACCTCTCTGATACCGCCCACTCTCGAAATTCCGCGCTTCGTAGAGGGATTTTTCGGATTCCAATAAAAAAGTACACTGAACAATATTTTTAGGAAAAAACTCTAGAAATCTTCAATTCATTGGGCCACAAAACTTCAGCGCAATTATCCTGTTACATTTTTTCGTTATTCACAGAAATTGAACACTCCAGATGATAAGTGTTTTTAGTAACGACAAGTGGATACTATAAACGAGAATAAGCGTAAATAAAGATAGGTGCAAGACGGTTTCTTGGGTATTTGTGAAAATTATATGCTGTCTCCAAAAATGTCTGAGTTTTCATTGACTTTAGATCACCAACATACGTGATGTCTGTTGAATGATTGGGAGCCTAATAGAGTGAGACGAGCAACATGCAACTAACCAACTTACATCGAAGTCACATTTCACGGCTAGTGCTTATCGCTCAATACCCTTTCATCATATCCGAGTACTATGGCCATTTTAAGGACCGCGCAATACTAAGTACGTTATTACGAAAATGTAATAAATAGACTGGCTACAAAAAAAAACAGTCAGCCACCACTAACACACAGATCAGTCCGTGACATGCAATTAACTTCTAGCGAGGATTCCAGTCGTAATTGACTATAAACACCACTACAAAGGAACGAGTGCCAGGATATCTATAGAATCCCATGGGAGCGAAACATCAGAAGTCGTTTAATGGACCAAGGCGAGATATATTTGCTGGCGCTCTCGTGGTATCGAAAGAATACCGAGATCGTGCCAGGATACAAGCTTGGTTACAGAACGTAACTGGATTCACTCGTGGACACAACCGAAGCACAGTTAAACAAAGAGCACATTAAACAGTCACTGGTGAAATTGATCATAATAAAAATTGTTTTCATTAAATCAATCGTGTTCTCGTGATGAAAATAAGTCACTACAAACTGATGTTTGTTGATTTTCCTTAACCTTAACGAAAATCAATTGACTGTTCACTATTCAGTAATTTGACCACCAGTTGATATAGATAGAGCATTGTGACATTTTACTGACCTACAGAATCCATAAGAGAGAATCCCGAAACCATAGTAACACAAAGTGTGTAGGGTCGGCGAAATGTCACCAGAATTCAAGCAAATAATTTAGCAAGCAGGTCACCGAAATTCGAAAATTTTCCTGATTCTCATCAAAATCAACTCGTACCGATCACACGCAATAAACTGGAACATGTGGCTCAAGAGGAAATATTGGCTGGTAATAAGGAAACCGACCTGGGATAAACATCTCAGACATTATCTTACCGTGTTAGTTGAATTAAAGTAAATTTCTGGCTTTCTTGTGAAGTATCCGTCAGAAGTCGTTTTGAAGTCTATTTTTCAGTTCTACAGTTTTCATGACCCTTATATAACATAGCTCGTGAGCGCTCACTTTCCAAAACAAAGGAAAGTTTACTGTTACAACTTAGGTTAATTGATTAGATGGTCGCAGACATCTATGTCGATGTCAGAACATAAAATCTAAAAATTTGATCACTTATTATATGTAGGCATCATGGTTCCCATTACCTTACATTGAAGTTCAATGGTCCTACCGATTGAGACTACTCTTCTCTTCAATAAATAATGCAAAAAACCATAATCAACAAATTCAGAGCCATTCCAAGTAGGTTAAAAGACGAGATAGTCAAAATGCTACGGACCTTAAAATACAAACTGGGATCATCTCTATCATAACAGCACCAACCCTTGTAGATTCAATGGGCTGGAAAAATCCTTAAGACAGATGTCCCATCAAGACCTGTAGTTGAGCATAAAAAAATTATTTACGCACAGCCTTTCTGGATACATAGCCAAGATTAGTAAATCGTATAAGTGAAATCAAATACGGGAGAATTCTAACGAATTCACAGACATCATCACTTACATCCTCATAGATGAATTAACGGCAAGTCTTGTTGTTTGCTTAGTTCACTAATGTTCTTATTAGGAACACTTCAGATATCGTGCATAACCTCTTAGATTCTGACACTGAAATAAAATGACGACGTTCACTAGGTTCCCCAGACATTACTTAAGCTCTGGATCTGTTTGCATTTAATGTTGTCCGAGATTTGTACGGATAAACGTAGGATGTGTCCATGAGAAAACTGATTTCTTCAATTGATTACTGACGCATGGAAGTCTCAGATTGTCAAATTTGGAAGTGACAGTGAGCGATTAATTCTTAGAATTCAAAATACATAAATATATTTAAAAACAAATAAATATATTGAGAAAATTAGTAATGGTATTCCATTAGAATTTGTAAAAGAATAGCCCTGAGAGATATAAATTTATATAAAGTTGGATTGAATATTTAAAACTTTATTGTAAATATTGAAAGTGTCTTTTATTGTCATGTAGAACTCACACATTATGGAGTATACGGAAAAAGAAACGACAAATGATCCTTTATATAATATCACAATTGAGCAACACACTATTTATATTCCCTGAATTTAAATACACATCCACATAGACAAAAACTAAGGTTATAAAATAAATTGAAGCACAGAATAAATTAGTTGTAGTAAAAAATGACAAACTAACTAAAACAAAAATAACTCATAACTGCGCAGAATGAAGAATAAAACCCAAATGCATCTGTTTTAATTATAAGCGGTGATAATTTTCTTTTACCGACAAGGTTAGAGTTTATTTAAGAAAAGGTGCTGCAATATCAGCTAAATTAGACATGAATTTACGTTTCTCATCATCCTTTGAATGTGTACAAGCTAATTTTAGGTGCTGACTAACTACTTGACGATCTGCAAAATGAGAGAACAAAATGATTACAATTTTTTAATCATTATATATATGAGAATAATCGACTACATCGTATGCAACAGTAATACGTATGTAAAAAGACAGTGAACGAAAATGCCAGTCAGCAAAGCTGTATACGTTGGATTAAAGACTCACTTTCATGATATGTAAAGGTTATATATTAAGAGAATCCATATTTGTAAAATATAAATCTTTTACGATGCAGATATTCCAAAAGTTAATTTCAGTGAATAGCAACTTGTAGTATAAAAAGTACTAAGGAACCAAAACTTTCATTTTCATATATTGCGGATTCACAACTTACTTACTTACACCTGTTACTCCTCGTGAAGGAGCATAGGTCGCTCACCAGCATTCTCCATCCAATCCTGTCCTGGGCAATCCTTTCCAGCTCCTTCCAGTTGTAATTCATCCTATCCATATCTGCTTCTATTATCCGACGTAATGTGTTCTTTGGCCTTCCTCTTTTCCGCTTCCCTTCAGGATTCCAAGTTAGAGCTTGCCTCGTGATGCAGTTTGACGATTTGCGTAATGTATGTCATATCCATTTCTATCGTCTTTTCCTAATTTCCTCTTCAGCTGGAAGTTGGTTTGTTCTCTCCCACAGAAGGCTATTGCTGATGGTATCCGGCCAATGGATGTTGAGTATCTTGCGAAGACAGCTATTTATAAATGCTTGTACCTTCTTAGTGGTGGTTGTTGTAGTTCTCCAAGTTTCAGCTCCATACAGTAGAACTGCCTTGACGTTCGTATTGAAGATTCTCACTTTGATATTGGTTGAAAGTTGTTTTGAGTTCCATATGTTCTTAAATTGTAGGAATGCGACCCTTGCTTTGCCAATCCTCGCCTTTACGTCTGCATCGGATCCTCCTTGTTCATCGATGATGCTTTCCAGGTATGTGAAGGACTCCACATCTTCCAGAGTTTCGCCATCAAGTGTGATTGGATTGCTGTTCTCCGCTTTGAATTTGAGGACCTTAGTTTTCCCTTTGTGTATGCTGAGGCCTACTGATGCAGAGACTGCTGCTACACTGGCTGTCTTCATCTGCATCTGTTCGTGTGTACGTGATAGGAGTGCCAGGTCATATGCGAAGTCCAGATCGTGTAATTGGTTCTGAGCTGTCCATTGTATTCCGTGTTTTCCTTCAGAAGTTGAGGTCTTCATAATCCAGTCGACCACCAGAAGAAAGAGGAAGGGAGAGAGTAAACAGCCTTGTCTGACTCCGGTCCTTACTTGGAATGCATCTGTCAGCTGTCCTCCATGCACTACTTTGCACTGTAGTCCGTCGTATGAGTTCCGGATAATATTGACAATCTTCTCAGGAACTCCGTAGTGTCGAAGAAGTTTCCATAATGTCCTCCTATCTACACTGTCGAATGCCTTTTCATAATCAATGAAGTTGATGTATAGTGACGAGTTCCACTCAACTGATTATTCGACGATGATCCGTAGTGTTGCAATTTGGTCTGTGCACGACCGATCCTTTCGGAATTCAGCTTGTTGATCTCGAAGTTGGACATCTACTGCATCCTTCATCCGGCTCAGCAACACTCTGTTGAAGACTTTCCCTGGTATTGACAGTAGTGTAATGCCTCTGTAGTTTTCACATTTGCTCAGATCTCCTTTCTTTGGGATCTTGGTGAGGTGTCCTTCTTTCCAGTCCATTGGCACTTGTTCCTCCTCCCAAATCATTTTGAATAGAGGGTAAAGCATACTTGTGGTTACTTCGACGTCTGATTTCAGTGCTTCAGCTGGTATGTTGTCGGGTCCTGCTGCTTTCCCGTTATTGATTTGTCTGACGGCCATTCTAATTTCTTCCGTCGTTGGTGGGTTGACATCTATAGGAAGATCTGTGTGTGCTGCTTCGATGTTCGGTGGATTCATTGGAGCCGGCCTATTCAGGAGTTCCTCGAAGTATTCTACCCATCTGTTTCGCTGTTGTTGAATTTCAGTGATTGGCTTGCCTTCTTTGTCTTTGACCGGCCTCTCTGGTTTACTGTATTTCCCTGCTAGTTTCTTCGTTGTATCGTAAAGCTGTTTCATATTCCCAGGACGCGAAGCCAGTAGGTCCTGGGTTCGAGCCCCGGGTGGTGCGGGTTCGCGGATGCGCACTGCTGAGGAGTCCCATACTAGGACGAAACGGCCGTCCAGTGCTTCCAGGTTTTCAATGGTGGTCTAGCTTCAACTGACTCATGATTTCAATCTGTGAAAACAATTAATAATTGTTTTCACCAAATTCTTCAAAAGCTGGAAAAATGCTATAAACACCATGTACAATTAGGGGTTAATAGATACTTTCTGAAGTCCTAAAGAAAAAAGATGGATTGTGTTATACCTTTATTGAACAGCAACTACTTTTGTCACTGATTTCAGCATGTTTCTAGGATCTTCTAAACAATTAATGACACATAAACTCGAAAATATTCTTGTTTTATACCTGAAAAAACCTTGTAAGTGGAGAGTCTTCTCATACTTTCTATTTTTTTTGTTCTCGTCAGGGATTAATTGCAGATTTTCGGGGATATAGAATGGGTTAGAAAGCCTACGCCTAGCCTTCAAGTACCGAATGTGCCGAATTATGCGCTAGATTTTTAATGATGACGATGACTATGAAGAAAACAAGAACAACAAAGTTTTGGGGCATAATTGAAAAAAGGAGATATTTGTTAAAAACAACCTTGGAAGAAAGAACCGTTTTGGAATCTTCTCACATTTGGTACCGCTGCTAACCAGATCGCTGTATCTGCACCTTGTTCTGGTGTTCTTAGTTTATTTTTCATTTTATTGTAAAATGATGGCATAGACAGTGCGACAGCCTGAAATTATATATTTAAAAGAGAGAATATCTAAAGTGGTACGGAGAAAAATGGTCACAGAATGAAATCACACAAAAGGCGTGGATAAGTCCTAGTTGTGGATAATAAGCGATGATATGAAGTATCGTATTATATTAGTTACAAAACAGCTAAATATATTTAAGACCTTTAAGGAAATCACGTTATCCACGAGATCGTAATCAACTTTATCTAAAGAATTAAAGTAGTGAATGATAACAGAACGTAGGAAACACCTGTTAGGTAATATCTCGGTTGTAGGAGAATTCGAAAGTTTCTGAATGAAATCAGTCGTTTTTATTTAATAAACGTTAGCTTAAGTAATACTAAATGAGATCTCTCGCATAGAAAGAGATTATCTAGTAATAGATAAACGGATGATTGTCGTTTATATTGATGTGAAAGAACAATAAATGAACGCTTAACAACTTGCTATTCAACTACTTTTTATCAAAATTATTAAAAACTATAATGCCAGTAACACTTACTGGTGTATCAGCCCAACCAGGATGCATTGAACAGAAGAATATTTCTGGATAGTTCTTAGACCACATTTCAGTCATAACAACTTGTTGACGTTTATTTTGTGCATAAACCATTGTTCCATCAAATTTGTTGTGCCTAGTTGTAAGCATTGGATCAGCATGATCCAATTTCTGTACTAACATTCCACCTGAGCTAACAGTAATAACACGAGCCTATATACGATAGGTGAGAAGTGTTAACAGTAAAAGAGAATAATTATATATCTGAATTTTATAAATGTTAAATAAATAGAATGAAAAACTACTAACAAGTTGATATTCCAGCTCCAATATTGATCATTACCATGAATAGAATTTTGACACTGACTATATATTCAGATATTCTGGTTAGTTTTTTAGCAACGTTTTGTTACATGAGATGGGGTCTCTGACCCCATGCCAAACGTTCCTTCTTAACAAGGACTTGGAACCAGCAGTAGCTGTAGAAGAGCTACAGATGGAGGATAAGAGGAACACCGATGAACACAATGCGTCAGGAAGTGGAAGTAGACATCAAAAGGGTGAATAGCAAATGGAACCAAGTGGAAAGGATTGCCCGAGACAGAGTTCGATGGAGGGTGTCAATGGGCGGCCTAAGCTTCTCCACGAGGGGTAACAGGCATAAGTAGTATATATTAAGATTTTATTTTCGATCGACTGGATATTATAAAAAATGTCTGATCGAATAACTAGCTGACTTTACCAGAAGGTTTGCTGTTTATAAAAGTAATTAAGTTAATTGAAAAATCACTTCAAAGCATTAAGATTACAATTAGATGACAAACTAAAATACTTCATATCTAACCAATGAAAGTTAGCTTAACACACAGTATATTCTCTTAAAATTTCTAAATATAGAATCTAGCTCCATTGCAATGAAGTGCTGTAAAATAGTTAAGTAACAACGTCACTAAAATTTCTAAATGCCGGCATAGTATTTTTCTTATTTCTGTATGTGTTTAAAATAAAATCTTGAGATCCAGTGAATTCAACAAAATATTGGAATTTAAACAGTAGCTAAGGAGATCCCAGTGAGTTTTTTGTAAAGGATATGTAAAGCATTCAAAGGTCTGTTCATATGATTTTTAAAAGATATTTTTCCGTTTGTCTTATATCAATGCTTGTAACATTGTCAATCGTTCCTTTTTCACATTTTGTGGAAGTTCATTCTACGTATTTAATAAGTAGCTCATTTATATTTCAGTTTATTATTGTGATTTTCTTTTACATGATTTTTATGTTGATAGGTATATAGTGAACAATCATTGATAAACAAATGTGTGTACTTGTTATATCTTTTGACCGCCAATTGGAGAGCAGTGACTTATCGATCAGACCAAGGACGCGTAAAACACGTGCGAGAAGCCCAGAGTCCTGATTGGTCCCGCTTTCCGCCTAGCCCATCCAGTTAAATCCAGAACGCCAGTCACAGCCTCTGTAATATGAATCCTTATATTTCAGACATACTGAGTTTATATACCGATCAAACAGACCACAACGTAGCACGAAATAGAAAATAACATTTGTACAAAATTTGACCAAATGTGACTGTGAATGTATGAGGCAGTAACTAATAGACAGGGCATAATTCAAGAATGGTAAAACGTATAATAATGGTTCATAGGTCAAAATAAAGTTTATAATAAGAGGGATATGAATATGAATAGTTTAGTTATTTAACAATTATATGATAAAAATATACGTTTAGTAATGGTCCATAAAAGGATCCCAAAGTTACCATTCATTGTGTTTATCGAGACCTAACACACCTCCCCTTTTTTGAAGATCCGGTGTTGATATCCGGACTTTAAATTTTCCGGGTTCATCCTCCCCCACGAAACAGTGTTGGATCCTCATATTCCCAAGCTATAATTAATTTGAATTTATTTAAAACATATTTGTCGCACTGAGAAGAGAATCGACTGAAAGTGACTAAGTGGTGAAGCTGAACGACGCTTGATATAAGGTAATCGAAGTTTGATTCTTCTGAAATATTGTGACCAAATTTATTGGGAACCTCGTTTGTAGATAATGGATCATCAAGGTAATCAGCATCTATCAAAATTGTATTAGGTTTCTGATCATCATTTGATGCATCTGACATATTTTCTGGTAAAAGAGAATCTCGATAATTAGATTCGTCAGAAACTTCTGTCGTTGAATGATGAGATCCATTTGGAGCAGCTGGATTCAGTGGAATGCTCGATTTGTTTTCTGTTTCACGGGTGGTTACTGCGACAATTCTATGAACACTTAACAGGGCGTCTGTTTGTGAGCTGGATAAATCACTGTCAGCACATACTGTTTCGGGGATAATGGAGTTTGAATCCATTACCAGGCATGATTCTGAAATGTAGAGTACTGGACCACTGGGCGGATCTTGAGTGACTGCTGTATCGTTTGAAATACGGTTTGTCGAGGATTCATGGAAGCTGCAATCATTTTCCAGCTCAATGTGCAAATGAGAAATTAATCCATCCACTTCCATCGCATCTCCAAATTATGAGTGATTCAGCAGTTGCGTGCGTAATTTGACTAAGAACTCCAACTGTCGCTCAAATAGCATATTTCTTAAGATAGTGGTTGGTATTAGTCGACAGGAAACCCTGGAGCTAGGGTTTCGTGCTATTTGGCACTTGTCAGCAAGGTGTACCCGTAAGCTTTAGGGACAAGATGCTGCCTAACAGATTCGACCCCGTGTGATACAGCTTCACAGTCAAAGACGCTACCACTGAGCTATCCGGGCCGCGTCTGACCTCCTGTAGGACTGAGATGTATTTACAATTGATTGATCACTGCGTAGTGATTAATGTCATGTATGCTAGGTGCTTCTTAGTGCCGATCAAATCCTATCGATCAATTTCCTCAAAATTACTGGTAAACCTTGCTGACAAGTGCCAAGTATCACGAAACTTAGGTCCAGGGTATCCCAACCACCATCTTATCTCAACATAGTGCACGCAATGTCGAATCAAATAGACTGGCGGCCACATTGCAACTTGGTCGATGAGACTCGATCATAACTAAGAAGTACCTGATATACATGACATTGGTTAACTGTATTTCGTGCCCAACATGTAATAACAACATAGGTGCAAGATATACATGAAAACTAACAAACAGACAAAAAACACCAATAAATAATTTATTTTTTAAAAAAAATAGAGATTAGATTTAGTGAGTAGTTTAGTAGTAATCTACCTAGACGTCTGAAAATTGCAATATTTGTATTTGAAAATAGTTAATATTCAGTATTGAGACAAAGTGAATTATCAATATAATACACATTTAAATATAAATTCTGTAACAGTCGCTTGAAACCGACATATATATACTACCGATTTCGAAAACTGATCACATTGTAAACTTATTAATTCAATAGCATGCCCTTTTATATCAACGAAATATTTGGACTGATATAACGTTGGACAATTACTTGACTGGGTTACAGTTACGATTTAAAGCTAATCGTTCTACATAATTTATAAACCACAAAATGTTATCAAATTATTGTTCATACTTACATCAGGTGATTTTTTTAATGCAGGTATTAGACTTTCAGTAAGTATATAAGTACCAAGTGTATTTGTGGCGAAATTAGCTTCTATGCCGTTTTCATCAGTCTTATATTCATTAATCATGCAGCCAGCATTATTAATCTATAGTAGTTTAAGATAGATATATGAAACAAACAGCAATTATGAGGTAATAAATTAATGTAAGATTAAGCGCTTAAAATAAAGAAATTCATAGGTTGATAAAAATGGACTGAAACTGTTTACGAAATCTGATAAACACGAAGGTAACCAAAACCATGAGTAACAACTACGGACAACTGAGCAACCATATGGTGAAACTATATTTACTGATATGACTTCTTCAACACTGAAAAATAATGACGGAAAGTAAAATGAAACCAAAAGTTATCAACTCTTTATGTAAATATCTTCAAGTTCCGCTGTTTTACCTATGTTGTTAACTTGAGTTCCATAAACTCAGTTATAAGGCATAGTAACAATCCTTTAACAGATCTCAAAACTACCAAACAGAACACCAGCTAAATGAATTCAAGGCTCGCCTCATGATATAGACAAAATACAAGACCATAAGGCACCATGATTATTCAAACTCAATACATACATAACTAGGACTGTAGCGAAGAATACAGGTGAGGACAACCGAACTACATTTAGTATAACATTACATAGTTACTTGCTAAAATAGAAAAAACCATACTATAATAATTAATTTGCAAAATGTTCAATAATTGTCTCGGACTTCATTGTTCTTGCATTTCTATACTAGTTGCTTTCTATTCCCGTTCTTCCTTTCTTGATCTTCCCAATCTTCTGCTACCAGACATTACATTCCTGACTCGCGTTATATACTACTTATGTCAATATAAGTAGCACGCACCACAAGACGTTTATGGCACAAAGATGAATTACAGGTTTATAGTTAGTTACGATAATTTATGAGCAGAAAAAGATGTTAATACGAGCCCTTAAGCTAGGTATAACAATTATAGGTTAGAGGCTATATGACCTACAAACTAATTCTCTCTAGTTGCCTATGTCATTTTACCATATTTATGTTAGTATTTCATAATATAAGCATGCCAAGTCTCTCTATAAAATCCAGTCCTACTGGGGTCTTTATTAAAAGATCTTCTACGCAATCTGGATTTTTTATTTCACTTAGCGGGCAGGGATGAAGATAGAACTAGCTTAATTTGCTGCATTGAAATCAGAGTTGCAAACAATTTGGTTAATGTGCGAACGTATCAGATGTAGCAACAGTTAATGAGTGAAATAAAGGTTAAAAACTAGGACAATATAAAAGTATCATGTACCACTTTTTAATATATTGACGTTAAAAATATACTTATCAAAGTTTATCTTTCGCAGTTTTAAATTCTCATCTATTCGCCCGTCTGGAGTCCCTCCGGGGGCTACTGCCGGTCCCAAGCCCGGATAAAGGAGGAGGGTTGGGCATGGGGTTAGCGTCCCCATCCCGTAGAAAACTAACTCGCTAAAAAAACGCTAACCAGAAAAAATTATTCAAACCTTTTAAACTCTGCCCTGGGAGTCAGAAGATCTTCATTTAGAAGAATTATGACGCCTCATGATGAAAGCTGAATCCCTTCGGAAGTTACGAGGCCGATGCCCCTTCTGACAACCAGAGCGACCATTTATTTAGGTACTCCGGCCATGAAGAAGAAAATGCACCACATACACAAGGAGTTGCATTGATGCTGTCCAAACAAGCGCAAAATGCACTTATAGGATGGGAATCTCATGGACCAAGGATCATCAAAGCCTCGTTTAAAACAAAGAAAGAGGGCATTTCAATGAACATCATCCAATGCTATGCGCCTACCAACGACTACAATGAAGACGCTAAAGATCAATTCTACAATAGGCTGCAGTCAATAGTCGAGAAGTGCCCAACAAAGGACCTGACCATTCTGATGGGAGATTTTAACGCCAAGGTTGGAACGGACAACACTGGATATGAAGACATCATGGGACGACACGGACTGGGAGAAAGAAACGAAAATGGTGAGAGATTTGCAAACCTATGTGCCTTCAATAAGCTGGTTATAGGCGGCACCATATACCCACATAAACGCATACACAAAACCACATGGACTTCACCGGATCACTCTACACAAAACCAAATCGACCATATTTGCATCAACAAAACGTTCAGGAGGACTATAGAGGACGTGAGAACCAAGAGAGGAGCTGATATAGCATCAGATCATCACTTACTGGTCGCCAAGATGAAATTGAAACTCAAGAAGCACTGGACAACGGGGCAGACAGTATCACAAAAGTTCAATACGGCCTTTCTCCAGGATACTAACAAACTCAACAAATTCAAAATAGTCCTCAGCAACAAGTTCCAGGCCTTTCATGATCTACTCAATGGAGAAGGAACTACTGTGGAGAGCAACTGGAAGGGGATCAAAGAGGCAATCACTTCAACATGTCATGAGGTCCTGGGTCACAAGAAACACCACCACAAGCAATGGATCACTGTTGGTACGCTGGATAAGATTTAAGAAAGTAGGAACAAGAAGGCAGCGATCAATACCAGCCGAACAAGAGCAGAAAAAGCCAAGGCACAAGCTGAATACACGGAAATAAACAAACAAGTGAAGAGGAGCATCAGAACCGACAAACGTAAAAATGTGGAATATTTAGCAACGACGGCAGAAAAGGCTGCAAGAGAAGGAAACATGAGACAAATGTATGACACGACAAAGAAACTCTCTGGAAATCGTAACAAACCAGAACGACCAGTGAAAAGCAAGGAAGGAAAGGTAATCACCAACATTGAAGAGCAACAAAACAGGTGGGTAGAACACTTCAAAGAACTGTTGAATCGACCAGCTCCACTGAACCCACCCAACATCGAAGCAGCACCCACGGACTTCCCAATCAATGTTGGCCCACCAACAATTGAAGAAATCAGCATGGCCATCAGAAAAATCAAAAGTGGTAAAGCAGCAGGACTCATTCCATCAGGCTCTGAACATAATGAAGAGCGGAGTCAGCTTAAGCGCAAGCTGACAAGAAGTCTACGCAATGATCGCGAACAGTGGTGGGTAGCGAAAGCAAGAGAGATGGAAAAGGCAGCGGCAATACGTAATAGCAGACAATTGTTCAGACTCGTTAAGGAAACCGGAATTAGGAAACCGACCGTTAGCGAAACAATCTCAGAGAAAGATGGACATATTATACATTCTCAATCCAGGAGATTGGATCGATGGGCAGAACACTTTAGGGATCAGTTCAACTGGCCTTCAGCCACACTTTGGTTTCCCACGATCTCCAGTCAACCTGAATGGCAAGTTAATGTAGGTCCTCCGTCTCTTTACGAAGTTGAAAAAGCCATAGGAAATCTGAAACGAGGGAGAGCAGCAGGCCCTGACAGGTTTACTCCTGAGATTTTTAAGGATGGCGGTCCAGTATTAGCAATGAGATTAACCGAGGTCTTAGGTAGAATTTGGGAACTGGACGTAATCCCATCTGACTGATCTCAATCACTGATTGTGCCAGTTTTTAAGAAAGGACAAAAGTCCTCTTGTGACAATCACAGAGGAATCAGTTTGACAAATATAGTGTCTAAAATATCAGTTTCAATAATACTTCGACGCCTAACCAAAGCTCATGAAGAACAGACTAGAGAAAATCAGGCTGGTTTTCGACCTGGACGTGTTTGTATAGATCAGATATTCACACTACGTCAGGTTCTAGAACACATACACACATCCAGACGCCCCACAATCGTATTATTTCTCGACCTTAAGGCGGCATTCGACTCTGTTGATCGTAAGGTTCTATGGCAGTGTTTGTCACTGAAAGGAGTACCAAAGAAGTACATTAACCTTATACAGGCTCTTTACTCGAACACAACTGGTAGAGTGAGAGCTTATGGCGAACTGTCATCAGAATTGATTACCTCAAGTGGTGTTCGTCAGGGCTGTCCACTCTCTCCATTCTTGTTCAACTTTATCGTCGACGTACTTTTAGAGATAACTTTCCTCGTCTAGATTTCCAGGGGTTGAACTTCTACCGGGAGGTTCACTTGTTGACTTAGAATATGCTGATGACATAGTTTTATTTGGCGAAGACGCTGACAAAATGCAGTCTTCTGACCACTCTAAGCAACAATACAGGCATGTTCGGCATGCGATTCTCCCCCTCAAAATGCAAAATGTTGCTTCACGATTAGGTTGCATCGACACCCGAACTAATGATAGGGAGTGAAGTAGTTGAGCGTGTCGACCGATTCACTTATCTTGGAAGTCTCATCAGCTCTCGTGGTCTGGTGTGTGACGAAGTCTCAACACGGATACAGAAGGCTCGACTTGCTTTTACCAACTTGCGTCATTTATGGCGTAGGCGAGATATCCGTCTATCAACCAAAGGACGGGTTTACTGCGCAGCAGTTCGTTCCGTCCTACCTTATGGCAGTGAAACATGGCCGGTAAGAGTAGAGGATATCCGTACGTTACTAGTATTTGATCATAGGTGTCTTCGAAATATTGCTCGTATATCCTGGGACCATCAAGTAAGTAACACAGTTGTTAGGAAACGGGTACTAGGTAAGGATGGCAAATCAATTGATGAAGTAGTGAAACTTCATCAGTTGAGATGGCTGGGACACGTGTTCCGTATGCCCAACGACCGACTGCCTCGACGTGCGATGTTCAGTGGTATAGGAGTAGGTTGGAAGAAAGCTAGGGGCGGCCAGACCAAAACATGGCACAAGTCCATGAAGTCACTGACAAGTGGACTGAGACATGTTGGTAGGTGTAGACTACCTGGTTGGGGACCACGAGATGATAGCAACCGATGGTTAAAGACCCTGAATGACATGGCTCAAAATCGTTTGCAATGGCGCAGGTGCATCCACTCTGTGTTCTCCCAAATTCTAATCTTCTGAATTCTTCATGTCCCTTTCTTTTTTCTCTTTCCAATTTTATTTCACTGGATTATACTCCTTGAATAAAATCTCCAAACCCTAATCTTTCCGATTACTGCTTATACTCTTATTACCTCTGCCACTACGGGATTTGAATCGACAACTGCATCTCTGTGCTTATGTGGTGTGGCAACTCGAACTGATGTACGTACGTACGAAGTTCTACGTTGTTAGTGACTGACTGACTGAGAGGCACTAAAAGAAGACGTAGCGGCAACTGCACGGATACTCCACATTCTCTTCAATAAGATTTGGGATGAGGAACAAGTAGCAACAGACTGGAAAGAAGGACTACTGATCAAAATACCGAAGAAAGGCGATCTCAGCAAGTGTGATAACTACAGGGGCATCACTCTTCTCTCAATACCGGGAAAAGTCTTCAACAGGGTATTGTTAAACAGGATGAAGGACTGCGTGGACGCCCAACTTCGTGACCAACAGGCAGGACTCCGTAAGGATAGATAGTGTACAGACCAAATCGCAACTCTATGGATAATTGTGGAACAATCAATTGAATGGAATTCATCACTCCACATCAACTTCATTGACTACGAAAAGGCATTTGATAGCGTGGACAGAACAACACTATGGAAACTTCTTCGACACTACGGCGTGCCTCAGAAGATAGTCAATATCATACAGAACTCATATGATGGATTACACTGCAAAATCGTGCATGGAGGACAGTTGACAAAGTCGTTCGAAGTAAAGACCGGTGTTAGGCAAGGTTGCCTACTCTCACCCTTTCTCTTTCTCCTGGTGATCGACTGGATCATGAAGATGTCAACGTCTGAAGGGAAGCGTGGGATACAATGGACATCTAGGATGCAGTTGGATGATCTAGACTTCGCAGACGATCTGGCCCTTCTATCCCAAACGCAACAACAGATGCAGGAGAAGACAAACAGCGTGGCAGCAGCCTCAGCAGCAATAGGTCTCAATATACACAAAGGGAAAAGCAGGATTCTCCGATACAACACAGAATGCACCAATCCAATCACAATTGACGGAGAAGATTTGGAAGATGTAAAAACCTTTATGTATTTGGGCAGCATCATTGATGAACAGGGTGGATCTGATGCAGATGTGAATGCACGGATCGGCAAAGCAAGAGCAGCATATATACAACTGAGGAACATCTGGAACTCAAAGCAACTGTCAACCAACACCAAGGTCAGGATTTTCAATACAAATGTCAAGACAGTTCTACTGTATGGGGCAGAAACCTGGAGAACTACAAAAGCCATCATCCAGAAAATACAGGTGTTTATTAACAATTGTCTACGCAAAATACTTCAGATCCATTGGCCGGACACTATTAGCAACAACGTACTGTGGGAGAGAACAAACCAGATCCCAGTGGAGGAAGAAATCAGGAAGAAGCGCTGGAAGTGGATAGGACACACATTGAGGAAAGCACCCAACTGTGTCACAAGACAAGCCCTCACATAGAATCCTGAAGGTCAAAGGAAAAGAGGAAGACCAAAGAACACATTACGCCGGGAAATGGAAATAGACATGAGAAAAATGAACAAGAATTGGATGGAACTAGAAAAGGAGGCCCAGCACAGACTGGGTTGGAGAACGCTGGTCGGTGGTCTATGCTCCATTAAGAGTAACAGGCGTAAGTAAGTAAGTAAGTAAAGTCTTCAATTAAGATTTTGAAATGTTTTACAGATGGAGTCTTTTTGCATTTTATATGGGAGTCTCTTTTCCTTACTTATTTTTTTTTTCGATTTTTAATTATCTTTCCTGTTGACAGTATCCCACTCTAATTTCCAACTAAGGTTATGAACTTATATAAGGATATAATAGAGTTGATTTGAAATATCTCTGAGGTATAGGAATAAACTTTACAGTTCTGAATAGTTAACTGAAACAATACATTCATAGACATAGATATTTATGAAAGACTTAGAAATCAAGTTAATTTATCTGTAAATTATTTGTATGTGATATTTTCTTTATTCAACGTGAAATTTAGACCAAATTATAATAACACAACTTAATCAATTCCTATTTAGAAGAGAAAAGAACTTTCTCAGTCACATGTATCATATTTACTGTAGTGATGTAACCAATTAAACAAATGAAATTTACAGTAGCAAAGAACATAATTTAAAAATATATATAGCAAAATGGAAATAATGAAGCTATTAATTAATCATTGCTAATTACCAAAATATCTAGACGTGAATCATTATTATTAGCAAATTGTTTTCCAAAATTGCGGACATCATTCGGTTTAGAAAGATCCAATGGATGAATAATTATACGCTAAAATCAAATTATCGATAAAGTATTATTACATAACATAGAAAAGTCAGATAAATAATATTAATTGTACACAATATAACAAAACAACTGGAAACCTGAATAAATAGTTCAGGAGAATGAAAGCTCAAACTTTGTATTTATTCCCGCCAAAAAACATGATCAAACAAATAGTGTGAATCGGTAAAAATATAAAGTTTCAGCTGGCTGTTTTAAGATTAGAACACCTACCGACTGTAACTGGTGACAGTCGCTTATAACTCCTTAATCTAATGTAACGCATATAACCCGATAAGGATTGAAGTCCATGTAGGAGAATGTCTATACGGTCGAAGTATTTCAGTGACTTATACCGCTGAGGGTGTAAGATCTCGGATAGAATTCAAAAGAAAGAAATTCAATATTGATTTCAAATATTGTTTGTTATGTTAATTCAGTGTGAACTTTTTTTCTTTTCATTTTAATGCATATTTATAGTATCGATTAATTCTTGGTAATTTTGTGTTCATTTGTTCATTGTTCAGTTTGATAATTTTCGTAATTACTAAACACTGGATTTAATCAGTATATAAATAAATGAACCAATGTACAAAATGAATTCTTCCCGCATCTTTTTTAAATCAATCTTCTTGCAAGAATTTAGTTTAGAGAAGTAGTGATTAGAAGAGAAGGAACTTGTCATATACTAGTTCAAAAGTTAGTTAGGATAATTGATATTACAGCACACCATATCACATATTTATCATTATGTAAAGTTATTGAAATGTATTTTAAAACATTTGGTTAAAAATGATGATTTTGGAGATAAAGGGATGGGCTGACATTTATGTAGGCTGCTTACTACAAGACACTACAAAAAGGACGTGTATCATCGACATTCACCGGCATCGTGTCAAACGAACTAATATTCAAGCTATCGGTATTGACAAATGCATGACGAAAAAGGTTAACAAAAATGAGAAATCAAGGAGGAAAAATAAATAATCAGTCATCACAAAACATTCAGTATTTAGATAAAGAGTGGATACATTCGTACTAGTATGATTGAGTTAGAAACATACCAGTTAGTTGCTTTAGCCACTCAAATCAAAATTCGACAAATATTCTTAAGAGCTGAACAACCTTTTAGAGCCATTATTTATTGTTCAAGCAGTATGCATCCTTAGTAATTTTGATGACGAGAGACAGGACGATATGTTTGTAGTCCCAGCTAATTTCCAAAACATCAATTTCAATACGATGAACGAGATTGTTTCTATACTTTTCTTGCCTTCCCGCCAACTGTACGGAAACTTCATTTCGTATAGCAGTTGTATTGATAGAGAATCAGGAAGAATTAATTTGCATTTAGGTTTATTCAAATTACATGTCAATGACTATTAAATACATAATATTATCAGATTGAACAATCACTACTGAACGAAAAACCGCAGTACATCAACAATGGATTGAAAGTTAACTGAACGAAGTTCATTTTAAATCAGTACGCGAATTTTAAAATTGATTTCTTCTGAATGCATTACTTGAGACTTCAGCATCACCAGCGGCATACATTCTTAGTAATTCTCATAAAAAGACACATACATTGAAAAAGATAGTCACAGGAAACGTTTTCATCATACTACTTGATAAAAAGAATAACTAACCGAATCACTGACTCCAGTTTCAGAAATTATCTGTTGACGTGCCTCTTCAGCACGAGGTTTACTGCGACAAACCATATGGATTTCTGCACCATGTTTCGCTAATTCTTTACAACACACGAGGCCGATCCCTGAATTGGCTCCAGTTATCAAAACACGGTGATTGTCTAAGCGTACGTTTTTCAACTCATTAGGATCAAAATGTGACGCAGCTGACTCATAGCCTGACCTGAATAAATGAAAAAAGAGTAATGGACTTTAGCAATGATCTGTAATAAATGATCATCACATACAACACTAGACACAATTAAAACATTAGATCTTGTTAGTAAAGAATACATTCCGAGGTTCTGATGAAAAAGTTGCGCGTAACATCACGTGAGACATGTCTAGTGTGTTTATGAAAGGCCTGGTGTTTATAATGTAGATCAGTAATTTAATTTGATTGTTGTGTGACCCTGAAGTCAGATACAAAAATTCTGGAAAAATTGTTTAGACCGGCTTAAAATTCAGCCTTCCTTTCTATTGAGTGGTATATGACTCAGCAATAAATAAAGTTTTTCAGCTACTCGACTTTTCCACAGCTTGAAATATCTTTTTTGAATAATCATTCTGCCATTTTTAATATTGACTTGATGGTTATTGAATACGAAGTGTACAAGTTATATAGAATTATTAGGTCACATTGGAAACGGCGAAAATCCAAAGTTAGAGGAATGGCAAACCGTTCAAAACAGACTAAGTTTCAAATAGCAGCGAACACATTCTGAAATTAACGTAAAAATATATGCACAACACCAAACAAGCCATAAAACAGTTTGAAATATTGAGTAATTATTAAGAGTGTAACGTAACAGGCGAGGAGAAGTAATGTCGAGATGAAGATAAAAATAGAAACGCATTTGACAGTTAGCTAGTTGTATTTTTAGATATGAGTGCAACAAAGACTAACAGCTAATGTTTGGAACGTGAAAGGATATCATGAATACAGCCTTTTCGAACTAACAAAATTAACGCTTATATACATGGTCAAACACATACTCATCAGGATTCTAACTCGACTGCATTCGTAATTTGATTTAATACTACTTTAATAACGTATCAAGCAAACCGTTACATAGTGATGAAGTTAGCTCTTAATAGTTTTGCTTTGCAAGGTAGTTTTAATCCTAGAACGGTAACAGTTTCGAACTCCACTATTTCTAATTCGATAGTATTCCTATCCACTAGACAAATAGTATGACCGAGCTGAGTACATACTCATGCATAAGTTAAATAAGACACATTATTTCTGCATTACACGTATGTGGAACAATATGAAGCTCAAATAAATCTGGATTTTGACACAGCTGAGAAATTAAAATTGTTATATCCCGACGAGAATTATGAATGGTACCTTCTGTGAACTATTTATGGACTAATACGATATATATCTTTTTATTGTATAATTAAGTAACTGAACTATGAATATTCAGGTTCATCCTATTGCAAGCTTTATTTTGATCCACGGACTGTTACTATGCGATTTGCCATTCTCGAGTTATACCCAATCTATTAATTACAGTCTCCCACATTCACAGTAACTTTTGGCTAAATTTTTACAAATGTTATTTTCTATTTTATGGTACGGTGTGGTCTGTTTGGTGTGTATATCAACCAAACCCTGTATGTTTGAAACATATGATTCATATAGCGGAGGCTAAGATTAGTGTTCTGGACTCAGCAGGTAGGGCTAGTCAGGAAGAAGGACGGATAAGGACCCTAGACGGTTCGTAAATGGTTATGCGTCATTGGTGCGGTCGATAAGCCACTGCTCTCCAATTGGTGATATCATTGCGTTATATATTAATAGGGCAAAAGGCGACAAAATATGACAAAAATATCAGACCCATATATAAAAACCGATATGTATGCCACATTATAATCGTTTGCATACTCAAGAAATCGTATGAAGTTTTAAATAAAATTACCTACTTTGTGTATTCACGCATCCCTTTTGAAAACCAGGCTAGATTACGAAATGCAGACATGATCCTTAAGTTAAACGAAAAGATGAGTTAAAAATAATAGCAAATGAAGAATGATAACTGGAATTATTTGATGATTATTCAAATAACTGATCAAAGAGATAGTTGGTAAGTGAAAATGTTGAAAGTCAAGCGACAAAATAGAAATAAGTAATGAGCAATCAAATGTAACCCAGAATCAGGCAAATTCGTTTGAGACTGAATTCGCTAAAACACTGGCAGTGTAAGCTTTTTTTGTATAGCTACTAATTGGCAGATCCATGAAATTGGAAGTATTTTGATTGAGCACGATAAACATTTTTAAGTAACGTAAGCGAATTTCTGTGGTTACTCCTGAAATTGCATAAGAGACTGAAATGTGCTGTGGCATATGTTTCTTTTGATATATTTATTGGAGAGAGAGTAAAATGAAAACCAAATCGGGCAAAAACATATTGGTCTCTAAAATGTTAAACTTCACACAATAGTGAATCAGTTTAAGGTTTGACACATCGTAACAGTTAGGGAGAAAATGACTAAACACGCTCTGTTAAGATACTCTTAATGTAGATCTTATAACCATGATGTAAAACACAGAAATCAAGCGAAGCAAACCCCATCCTTGATATCGAATGATACATAAAATGTCAGAATCATAAGCAGAATAGGAAGACAAAATAGAAATGAACTCTCTACTTAGCCGAAGTAAACAATTTAGAGAAGCATGTCCAGCTTTACAAAAAATTGATATGGAGGTGACAGACACTTTCAAAAAATCTACGGATAAGCATCCAAAGCCTTCAAGAGACCTTATCTCTTGGCAGTATTTCCTCATAATAGGACCATATTTTCTGCAAATACTATATAAATCACATTCTCTCTTGATAAACTATTTATCTTAACAGCATCATAGATAAATACAGTTAATCACACCAGCATATTAATGAAAAATCTTATCACATTTGGTTACAAAAAAAAGGATTTTCTGATGGTAAATTTTACTAAGTAGATTAACTTTTAGTGAATGTTTCAAGTACAATACACCGATCTATCACTTTTAATGAAAATCAATAAGGAGTCATTGTATTAGAACAAATCAAGAAGTTCACAAGAAAGATCTTTAACTTCATTCATCACTAAAAATGTACTGACAGAGGTAACAACGTGAAGGATACGCGATAGAACTTACATTGATGACGTGAAGGATAACAATCCAAATCCCAATATGCCACTGATAGAGATTATCAACCAGTTTATCATTAAATGGGATAAAGATAACTATGACATCGAGAAGCGTCGTTCTAAAATTGATATGGAAATTTCAACAGGATTGGCACTGTGGTGAAAATGATAACAAATCACCTTATTTCAAGTTGAACACAAACAATATTTACACTACTCGGTAATAATAAGTAGCATGAAAAACATCTTATGAAACGGCTGAACACAGAAGGACGTTATCTAGTTTGTAGTCTGTTTTCTAATTATAAAACAAGCTTTGTTACATCCCAATTCAGATATAATCAAAGTACATCAATTAAGTGTCGTAGATGATGCAACAAAAGTTCTGATTTTAAAAAACTTAGCAGGTCATAACGAGAATGTCCCAATATAATTTGCTGAAAATAACTCCAGCCCGACAAAGTGTATAATAGTAAAACCCAAGACCTAGTGAAAGAAAAATAAATGATCTCGAGACATATAATCCAGCGTCTCTAAACGCTGATCTAGGATAGTGCGCCGATTCTAGCAAAATAGATTGCACCTACCTCCACAGTTCAGTTCAACTGTCAATAATTTCGTGGGTTGATGCCATGTTTTCATTTGGCCATACCCTAACACATTCTCCTATCTACTCAATCAATAACAAATAACTACCTCGTAAACTGACTCGTCATTCTTACCTAGAACCATGTGTCTAACCTCAACATTGCATACTCGGTTGTCTCACCACAAGCGGGCAATGATCCCAGGGAATCTATGATAAAACGCTAGTAACCTACGGAAAGAGTATTGTACTTTAAGTGACTATTAAAAGAAATCACCCACTCAACTCGAAATATATTCGCACCAGTTAAGACAAACGTATGACTCCATACTAAAAGTGCAGTCAAACACACATTATAGCCAGGCAAACTTCAAACACAAACTATAAGTAATTTGTAGAGAAAGACGACTGTTCCAAAAAATGTTTTGTTAAAGAATACACAATGAATATGTTCAAATAAATTATTAAAAATACATGTACATTTCTTGTGTACAAATATACATATATTTCTTTTCATTATTAAAAAATATATAAATATAACCAGGAAAAGAAGAAGCAATGTCTATACATGCAATTTTTTTAAAAATAGAACTTTTATTTCAGACAATTAATGTTTTAAAGATAAAGCGTGTTGTCCATTAATTGTCTGTTTGATAGGTCTCAGCTGACGTAATACATTAGCCAATACTGTTTGTGCATCTTCATTTTTACCAACCAATTTACGTAGACGAATTTTCTTTAATAATTCTCTAACTGTTATAGGCTTTCTCATTAAGTATTTACGTACAGTATTTACTAATTCATTGTCAGTTGAAATTGTTGATGTACCAGATGGTGTGTCATTTCGCAATTTTTTGGCAGCGGGTGAATCTGCTGAGGTGTCTGAATTAACAGATCCAGATAAATCAGTAGGTAAACGTTTTAAATTTGAATTATTGCCACTGCTTACTGGTTGGTTGTCAATTGGACTGCTACCACTATTAATTCCAGATGAAAGTGAAGGTGCATGAATGGTTTCTGAGAGTTTTTGCAACACTTCAGCTTTTTTAGCATTTTTCTGTATTGATTTAAGCCGGTTGTCAAGGTCGGAATCAGAGGAAGAATATGTAGAAGAGTCATCAGCCGATGAAGAACTCGAACTTGATGATGATCCACTGTCATTGTCGTTGTCTTGACGTTTTTTATGACTACGATGAGATTTTGCAGTGGCCTCTAGTCTATCATCTGATTTATGAATGGATATTGAATGTTTTGTACCCTTTTGGAAATCATTTCTTTGAGGTTTTGTCATATCATCTATTTCGCTACGTCTCTTAGAAAAGATATTATCCTCATCATCAACAGGTGTATTTTCCTCTACGTCTTGCATGTCATCTTCAGACTTTTCCTCTTCTTCACTACCTGTTAGAGGGAAAGTAAAAACGAAAAATCAATATTAGAAAAATCCCAATACAAGAAAAAAGCACTTTCAATATATATTACATAATAATAAAGCAAGGGCTGAAAATTGGATAGAATGGATAGGATGGTCTGAACAAACTATTACATTGAGACTTGGAGTAAACTACAATACTGTAGGCTTTCAGTTAACTTACTAACTGCTGATATATCTTTAGCTGTTCATAAGTTACAATTGATAAAACAAAATAAATAGATACGACGGGTTTCTTTCATTGATACAACTGATTAATTGTATACGAGTTATTCAGTATTATACCACAAATAACCTAGTTTCGTATAAACTGATGTTTTATTTGTGGTGCGTGGCGGTCTTCTAGCTGAGGCATATAATGATGTAAGTTTTTAAGTCTATTTATTTATTTAAACACATAAACATTGATACAAGGAGGCATTAAACAGATATGCGTCACATAAATCATTCGATTTGTGTGAGGGCTGTGATACTGCCCGTGTGCCCAGATCGAAGCAGGTGGTATTCATAGGGAGCCACACCCTGAGCCTTTGACTTAAAGGTCTGATCCACAAGGCAGTGGAGCATCGTGAAGAGACGCAGTCCCATGGTAGCCGGTGACCAACGATTGGTTCATACGCCATTTGTTCCCACAGGATACTAGAACCCATGTGGATCATTGGTTTGGAATCAGGGTTTCCCAACTCCTCTATGTGGACTCTGCGTGTACATCAACCCCGTAATAGCGTCAGACATTCGCTTTTCCTCCTCTCAGTTTCGTAAACAACACCCTCGCCACGAGAAGGCTCTGCGGTCACGCTCCCAGGTCGTCAAGACCAACACTAATCCAATTTCCTTTTCAGGTTCCTCAAGAAATACCCTTCCACGGTGTGGGCAGCCGGGAAGTGATATCAGCCCTCATACCCGTAACAGCACACGAGACCAAGTTGGTCACATTCAAATCCTTCCTACACCCCCCAATAACTCTCTTATCTCCATGACTAACCCTCCTCACGTCTCTTTATCATCTCGCACCGCTAGGGCAAACGATTCGAGTACGCGGAACGCTATTCCTGGTCTCCTGAAACCACGCTCTAAACTACACGTAGGAGCTTTTAACGTCCGAACACTGTGCCAAATAGGACAACAGGCTTCCCTAGCTAGGACTTTAGAATCCCGCGCCATCGATGTGTGCTGAGTCTCCGAAACGCGCATACAGGATTCGAGTAGCTTCATTCAGCTGACCTCACCATGCCAAAATAAAGAACCGACTCGATTTACGCTTCGTGTATCTGGAAGCCCTGATTCTGCTTCCCGTGGACTCGCCGGCGTAGGTATAGCATTGAGTCCTAGGGCAGAAATAGCTCTCTTAGACTGGATCTCAGTAGACAGTCGTTTGTGCACTGTCCGACTGAACGGAACAGTAAGAATCCGGAAAGATAGGGACACTCGTCGTTGCCTCTTCGTCGTCTCTGCCTATTCTCCCACTGACTGCAGCGCAGATGATGCAAAAGATGAGTTTTACAGAAAGCTCTCCGACCTCCTCCTAAAAGCTAGGCACTCGGATGTAGTAATAGTGGCCGGTGACATTAATGCTCAAGTAGGTAAACTAAGCGATAGGGAAAGACACCTGGGTGGATCTTATAGCATCGTGGCTCAAAGAACAGATAACGGCGACCGTCTGTTGCAGCTATGCTCAGATAACCGCCTGTTCCTTGCAAATACTAACTGTAAGCATAAGGAAAAACATCTTTTAACATAGCGACCCCCTAATTCGTCCCAACGTTGGAACCAAATAGATCACATCGCTATCAGCCACCGATGGAGGGGCTCGATAGAAGACTGTCGCTCATTCTGGAGCACATGCTTAGATTCAGATCATGCTCTAGTACGAGCGCGTATCTGTCTGCGTCTTATTGGACGTAGGAAAGACGCTGCAAGGAAACCTCTTAGGGGCCTACTTAATGATAGCCAAGCTAAGAGTATATTTCAGGAACAACTAGGAAAACAGTTAGGCACCCATATAGGTGATGCCCACCCCGAGGCAGCATGGAATGATATCCGAAAAGCTGTGGAAACAGCAGTGATATCTGCTAGTAAGGTAAACCACAAGGTTAGGGAGAAACACTGGATCTCAGCAACATCTATCGCACTGATAGATGCTCGGAAACTCATTCCATCTGGCTCTAAACATAATGAAGAGAGGAGTCAGCTTAAGCGCAAGCTGACAAGAAGTCTACGCAATGATCGTGGACAGTGGTGGGTAACGAAAGCAAGAGAGATGGAAAAGGCAGCGGCAATAGGTAACAGCAGAAATTGTTCAGACGTGTTAAGGAAACCGGTATTAGGAAACCGACTGTTAGCGAAACACTCTCAGAGAAAGATGGACATATTATACATTCTCAATCCAGGAGATTGGATCGATGGGCAGAACACTTTAGGGATCAGTTCAACTGGCCTTCAGCCACACTTTGGTTTCCCACGATCTCCAGTCAACCTGAATGGCAAGTTAATGTAGGTCCTCCGTCTCTTTACGAAGTTGAAAAAGCCATAGGAAATCTGAAACGAGGGAGAGCAGCAGGCCCTGACAGGTTTACTCCTGAGATTTTTAAGGATGGCGGTCCAGTATTAGCAATGAGATTAACCGAGGTCTTAGGTAGAATTTGGGAACTGGACGTAATCCCATCTGACTGATCTCAATCACTGATTGTGCCAGTTTTTAAGAAAGGACAAAAGTCCTCTTGTGACAATCACAGAGGAATCAGTTTGACAAATATAGTGTCTAAAATATCAGCTTCAATAATACTTCGACGCCTAACCAAAGCTCATGAAGAACAGACTAGAGAAAATCAGGCTGGTTTTCGACCTGGACGTGTTTGTATAGATCAGATATTCACACTACGTCAGGTTCTAGAACACATACACACATCCAGACGCCCCACAATCGTATTATTTCTCGACCTTAAGGCGGCATTCGACTCTGTTGATCGTAAGGTTCTATGGCAGTGTTTGTCACTGAAAGGAGTACCAAAGAAGTACATTAACCTTATACAGGCTCTTTACTCGAACACAACTGGTAGAGTGAGAGCTTATGGCGAACTGTCATCAGAATTGATTACCTCAAGTGGTGTTCGTCAGGGCTGTCCACTCTCTCCATT